ATTCACGCGATAAATCTGCTGCGCTTTAAAATCAAAAACCGATATAAATGTACTTTTTAAAAGAACGCAATTCTAACAAGTGTTGACTTCGTCTCGATACAATATTGTTGTTCTTCTTCGTCGGTTATAAACCTTTAAATCCTTGAGTTTAACTTCGACCAATCATCGTCTATATTTATCACTATCTTTTTCATTTCGTTTCTTAAAATAAAACTTTTTGCACAAATATTTTACATTTACTTTACTAAAAAGAATGCTAAAAAGAACGAAAAGAAAAAAAACAAGATTTTTAACGTTTCAATTATTAAATCCATCAAAATGATTCTTTATTTTTACAAAATTCTTTTGGAAAAGATTCATTTTATATCCCTCCTCGTTGTAATCAGATTCATTTAAACGCATTACCAATTTTTCTATTGTTAAAACAACAAGAATTCGAATTGATTGCATCGATTACCCATCAAAGTAAGTAATATGCAATAACTCGATCCTCTTTCACCCCTTACGCAACCGCGCCATTACACCGATTCCTCTCTCGTCCACCATCCACTGGCTTCGTCCAAGAACATCATAAATTTTCTCATCGACCGCTAACTTCTAAATTATCATTGACTTCACGAAGCATGATCGAGCATAAATCATCTCGAATTCCTTCTGTCGCACCCGTAACATAACGGTGACGAGGATTTTTTTACGGCGGAAGAGGGTGGTTGATACTGGTGGCGTTCTCGAGAGCGATGAAAATAAAAATTTCACACACGTACCTACTACTGTACACGCGGCGTGCGCATAGGCAGGTTCATCGGTCGCAGCTGTATGAGAGAAGCCGTAATGCGAAACCGGTAAGATTTTACGACCGGTTTCCGCGGCCCGTAACCAGCACACCCACATGTGAACCCGGGGCGATAAATACGATTGTTTATTTGGCCTGGGTGCATCGATTTATCTGCGTAGCGTGGCGGAAAGTCGATCCAGCTGAAAAGAAACGACGAGGAACCAGTCGAAAACCAGCAATATACGAGGGCACCGTATAAATTTCGATTTTAACACTGGTCCTTAACCCGATCACGCTTTTAGCCGGCTTTCCAGTATTTCACACTCCGTTCCCCGTCCAAGTAACGATCGAATAAATATTGGATATAGCTTTTGATTCGTTTCTTGATTACGTTTTCAATAATTCAATTTCTACCTTTTTTTTTTCTCAGGATAATTTTCTTTGATGAGGTGAGGTAACGAATTAGATTCCTTTGTCAAAGTGCATTTGTTTGGTTTTCTTTTTATTATCTTCTATTTATTAGATCGTTTCAAAAGTTGTTTCATCTTCTTTTGGTATGTATCTTTCTCGAATTCTCTTTGCAATTTTTGACTTCGTGATTCTAATTTATTTGATTTATTTTCAGGTTTTTATCGATCGAGATGTGAGTTTTAAACTTCATTGAATAAGAAGGATGGATCGATTTTCCGATTTAAAGAACAGAACGATTTAAAGGACAGAAATAAAAGTCACTATTGAATGTTTTAATATCGATCAGCATAATAGTTACAAGAGAAGACATTTATACATTTGCATTTGAAATTATTTATAATTATTTTTTTAAAAATTAAATTCTATGTAGGTAAGGTAATGAATAACTCAAAGCTCGAACAGGAATCCTGAAACGTAAATATGTATGGAATTTTGCAGAAAGAGAATAAAATATTTGGATAGTAGAGTAGATGTTGGAATGAAATTGCATTTACATAAATCAGAGTTATCTAATTCGGATGTAACTCGTTACATAATGCAAATATCCTGAGAGGTTTCGCTTTCCAGATAAAATCAGCGTTTTTTTTAAATCGAATTTTTCGATACAGCCAACAAATGTATTCAATCACATCTCCAAATGACGATCAAATACACAAAGAGCACGATGAATCGGTCATTGGAATTTTGTATCACGCGATAAAACAATCGTTTTGATTGTGAAATTCATTCTTAATTATCGTCCCTGCAATGGTGATACAATTTTATCATTAAACGCCACCGAAATTCGTTTGTTCTACTGTGAATGACTTTATCTACTGCCATTCAAATTGAATATCTTTGAAGAATCATCCCTCTGTTGACCATAAATTATTTCATTTACTAGAATAATTTTCCATCCTCGTTTTCAAATTTTGAAAGTAAAAATTATTTTTCTCCATTCACAATTCTCAGATGCTATAGAACGATATTAATGATGAAATCCCTATATGTACAAGTTTCTAAAATTATTAAAATTTCTCGTACAAAACAAGTTTGGTAATAAAATTTGGGTCAGCAGACATTGTTACATTAATTGGACTATTGCAAAACAAATGCTGTAATTATATTGCAGTTTGTTCCGTTTTGCAGGAAAAAAAAAAAAACCGGACTCGGATAAATATTTTTCACGTTCATAAATAGAACGTAATTTTCGACGTTGAAAAACTGCAACGGGTATATCAGCTGGCCAATCCCATTTCCTCGACCGAAAAACCGAAGCACGTCGCCGGAAGATTTAGCGATTTCGAAGCGGCAAACAATCGAGATAATTATAAGTACAAACGCGTGTAGTAGTCTCCTGCAGATATTTATCCAAGGACCCCGCGGTGATTTGTCTCCGCGATGGCGTTTGAAATCGTTTCGTATACACGAGCCTTGGAAATATTGACCGAGTTCCTTCCACTTTCTACACGAAAACCAGCCAATATTCCGACCTCGTTCGCGAATACGTGTCTCGTGGCTGATGATTATGAAACTCTTGATAACGACGGGATTAGTCAAGGCGCGGTGAAATACGTGAAATACTCGCGGCGAGTTGCCGCGACGTTTGCTAATATCCAACCGAGAGCGTATATATACACGTATGATTCATTAGAGACGTCTCGATGTCTCAATTTTCGAAACGAGAGGTAGAAATTCTTATCCTCTTCGGTCTCTCTTCTTGCAAATATTACTTGAAGATTATCCGAATTATATATGGGATTAATGACGAGATATATATGTTAAGTGGATTTCTTTCAAGCGTGTTACAAGTCGAATATAGTTTCGAACATTCGGAGAATATTTTATAACTTCGAGCACAAATCAGACTCTTATTAAGACAATATTTAACAAAACTTAACATTAAATCAATTAAAGAATTGAAAAGATGCTATGCTGTGTTTTGCTACATTCTTCACCAAGAAGATTTTAATTAAAACTATAACTTAAACAGATTCAAATCTACAAGACGAGATCTATATAATTACCTCTTATATCATATATAAAAAGAAACGAAACACAAATATTAGACTTGAAGCATTGTGAGCGTCCAGCATTGAACTTCATCCCATCGAACCGGCCAATCGCAGTCGAAGTTCAAACGTGGTAAATAAATCGCCATGTCTCCCCCTCTTCGAGAACCGATCCCACGTACAAATTATCAGACGGGAAAAAATCCGACGGATAACAAGCTTCCCGTGTGAAATCCGTCCATCGCTCGTTTCTTCTGGGAAAGCTTACAAAGTCGGACATTAATGGCGTTAATCGCCCCACCTATTGCCTTGACGTGACCTTACTTACTTACGGCTGTCGAACGCTTCCTGCTTGTCCAGGGCACGCGAGCGCTACCCGATCAATTCCCACGATGCTTTCACTCCGATCTAATACGTCATTATCGGCGATCGTGATAAGCGATACGGGCCGTTCGATGGACGAGAGTCGGTCGACAACCGACTCGAGAAAAGAGCAACGGTGCTCGAGCAAAGTGCAGGAGCTTGTGCACGCGTCTCGGGTGTCGAGAGAGAGAGAGAGAGAGAGAGAGAGAAAGAGAGAGAGAGACGTGATTTTCATCATGGCGAAACGAATTTTTTCCACACGCTCCGCCGCCGAGTTGATCGACAGCCGAGTCGTCCTCCGCTGAAGGATCACGAGTCAGCGACAGAAGTTCATCGATTTATTCTACTTTCTACGTAGTTCCCGGCCGACTCTCGGCTGATCTCTTCTCGTGGACTGGGAGTGGTTTCGGATCAAACCTGTCGGGTTAGAAACGGCAGACGCGCCTTCCTTCTTCGAAGCTCGAGAAGACGTTTGTTGCAATATCGGTGACGAGCGAGTTTCTAATTTAACGGATGCGGATGAAACGCTCAAGTTTCTAGTATTTCTATTCGATGCGTAACAATCCTCGAATTATTTAACTTTTTATCGCAACATGAATTTCTAATACTTTTAGATTTTTTGAAGATTCGAGATTTCTTTCGAATATCTGAATTTCCTAATTCCTGAGTTTTATCTAAGTATATACGCGATGATGCGAAGCGTAATTTTGTCTCGATGTTGAGCAGAATCTATATATAATGGTCAAATGAAATTCGTAACGCGTCCCGCGGTAGTTCCAGATGCTACGTATAAATCCACTGTATGACATATTCACTGCCTCCTATGAACTCTCGAAAGTGAGTATGCACTCGGTGAAGAAAGAAAAAACGGCCATTACGAGCATCCTCGTAGAAAGCATCGGCGATAACGAGTTTATAAATCAAATAGGATTTTCACCGATGGAACGAGCAACAAACGTTTGATACGTTGATTTCGTCCAACGATCGGCAGCGAGCAAGAGGATCTCCAAGGTTTGATCCTCCTGGTCATAGATCATCCGCTCGTTATAGATCATTGTCGGGCATACATCGGCAGGACGATTATCGGCAGGCGAACGTGTAAATCACCTCGAACCGGCGTAATTTATTACCCACTATCTTTGCCACGATGACAACACTTGCCCTATGATAATTTATCGAGAGATCTAATCGCTCGTTCAGCCTCCAATTTTTACCCGTTCGATGCGAAAGCCGCGAGCGATCGTGTCAAAGGTCCCGCGTGAATCACCGTGGAATCTGTACCGTGAGGCCGCGGTTCCTGGTCACCTTTCCGTCCAGTACCTTTGATCTCTCGTACGAAGCACTTGTTCATCTGTCAACTGTCATGTCTCCTACGTATATAAAACTTAATTTGATTTCAGCAATAACAAAGGAGGATCCTGGCAGCGTGGGCAGAATTCCCAAAGGTCGAGCCCCAGTCCCAGTCGACTTCACCACACGCAGGAAGCGGCCACGCCTCACACAGCTCCTGTTTCCGTGAGTATTCCAATCCCTACCGGAAATTGAATTGTTTTTTCTTTTTTTCTTTTAATTATGATACTCCCGATCGCTCAGTTACAGGATCCCGATTCTTGGGACACTGTCAATATTCGACTAGTTATCAATCTGTTTCCATTCCCTCGTCGATGTTTTCAAAAAAGAAAAGAGAAAAAGGAGAAAGAAAAAATAAGAGAGAGAGAGAGAGAGAGAGAGAGAGGCGGTAGAATGCTTTCAAATGTTTTAAACATTCGAAGATCAGCCACATTTTCTTACTTCTTTTATAAGTTTCGTGGCCGATTCACCGACAGCCTCTCGCAACTTTCTTTCCCAGGAGAACTTCCGAGCGGTTCTCTTGAACTTTTTACCCGTCTTATATCGTCTCGTTGCTCGATCGATAAAACGTTTTCTACCGTTCCCCTGTTTCCCGGAAAATTATCACTGATTTCCCGAATCGTTCTTTCACGTTATAACGTTATAATATTATACGAGCCTAGGGAGTTTAGCGTAGGGAGAAATCGTACTTCTTCCATTTCGGAAATTTTAACAGTTTTTTTTATTTTCAACATAACACCTGTTACATTAATTTGTTATCTAAGAAAAAGATATCTTGATATCTGTTGATTGGAAAAAATGAAAATTAGCGACTGAATGACATTCTCGTAATTCGCGAATTGGAAAATAACTTTAAATCCCCAGCTATATTATTATCGCGTTACAAATTCTTCTGGGTCGATGAAATGCTAGCGACATATAGCGTTATAAGGATCCCAATTAATACCACGCTCAGACGTGATAAATTACCACTAGGAGCTGTTCTGTTCCCGATTCTCTGTACAATCGTCGCGGATAAATCCGCGAACTTACAACAATGCGACAGTTAGCCCGGATAAAACGTCCCAGAGTTTAATTAAGCTGACCTGAATCACCAACGGCTAGACCTCTGTTGCTAAGTTTATCCAAGAAACTCGGAAGAAAGACAGTTCCTGGAACCGCTTTTATAACGTTTCATAGCTTTTCGGAGCTAAAAGCGTTTGCCTGCATTTTCTGGAAAGGATCAACCCCTTAGCGGAATGTACCTTAATTCTTAAAACTTCTGAACGATACGAAATGAAAATAGCGTGTAACTTTTCGAGGAGATGTGGAGCGTTAAATATTTAAAAACAAACACACGAGATAACTTAATTATCTCGTGGATTAATTGGAATAATCCTGTCATAAATAGAATATTTGAATATTTGAATAATATTAGAATATAGAATATTTGAATAATTCTGATGATCATTTGTTAAATTTCGATTAAGTTTAAATTTGAGAAAAATAACTCTTAGAGAGAAATAGATAAAGAAGATAATATAACGATCATAGACGGAATAATTAAGTGATTGGATATTTTGAATTTTGACAAGATTCGTGTAAATCTGAATTTGAAAAAAAAAAGTATTTCAGAGAAAGGTAAATAATAATCGTACGAAATAAAAATATTTCATTCGCGGCAACGAAATTTCATACTAACCTACATTTTTTATCGTAAATTAATTTATCCAGTCCCGTAATCTCGTACATAAGAAAAAAAACATTTTCTTTTTTTTTATCATCTCGCAGAGGCAGAAAAGGCCAACCATAAATCACTTTTATAAAAAAGCCCTCCCTTATATTTCCCCCTTTTCCAAGGAGGTATCTATCTCAAAAACGTCGCAACTTATCGACTTCTAACCCTCCTCTCCTCGTTTCTTTCCTCCAACCAATTTAACCTTTCCACGGACGAAAGTTTGGCGCGCGTCACATTCCGAACAACGCTTCAGAAATCGATCATAGCGGCACGTGACGTATTGTCCCGTATTGTAGAAATTCGCGTTTTAAAATTCGCGCCACGACTTGGCATTATATCGCATTGCGTTTTCCATGAACTTCTCAGATTTCTCGGAATCCCGCTGGCCACTTCCGGTTTGTTTCCGGTTTGGAAGGGAGCTCGAGAGGATCGAGATCCCGTTTTTCCCGAGCGGTGGATCGTCGCGAGACGATCTTGGATTCCGCATTCGTGCCGCGGGATCGTGGAATTCCCTCGCGGAGATGCAAATTTTAAACGCGTTATCGTAAACCCGTGACGTGACTTCCTGTTTGAAATGCCGAGCATCTGACACGGTGTACCATCCGTTTCCACCTATCTCGAGGATAATTTGAAACGATTACGCAGCATCGAGGGATCGGAGTGGATACGACTTTATTATCGAGCGCCTTGGGCGACGATCGAAGCGTGTCGAAAAGCTTTTCATATCGGATATCTTTTAATCGCTGGGGAAATCGATGTTGGAACGGAAAGTGGATGGAGTTTCGATGGTTTTCAGCTTTTTATCCGGAGGCTGGGATAAAAATCAAGTCTCTCCATTTTCTTTAAAATTCAATTACGCATTTGTATAGTGTTAAAATATTCCTGGGACGTATTCTTTGAAAGGTTTTAAGGGAAAGGTTGATGTTAGGAGGAATGATAAGATGGATGTTGGGAAGAGAATAGAGATAATTTGGATAAGCTTTTATCCGGGAAAGGGATTGGAAGAAATTCGTGTTTAAATTATCATCATCTTTGAGAGGAGGAGTCGTATTCCTGTTAATTCCAAGTAATCGACATTTCGCGTATGCGATAGTGGAATTGCAAGGTGGAATAGGCGGTAGAACAGGAAAGTGATTCTGGGAAATTAAGATAATCGTTAAGATAATCAGGGAGAATCCGCGAATTCGAGTTTACAATGTCGATGTCCATTTAATTGTCAGTTAAATGCTTGTCCCTTGTTGACAATGATTCGTGCATAAGCGTTATATAGATACAGTCGATTCGACACGACATTGTTACCAGTAACGTTAACGAACAGGTATGCCTGTTGTGTCCGTGTGAATGATGCATGTCGTAGGAAGCAACGATACGCTGCACACGTATATTCAAACGCAATAATGCAATCGATATGTATTAACACGCTCTAATTCTAACGTTGGTTTGTAATTGAAGGAGTAATGAAATTCTGTCGGCTGTCTTGCGATTCTTTTGATATCGAATTTTTCCTTTCTCTTTTCTTAATTAATAGAACCGGCATTTTGTTGCACAACACAAACGTATATACGCGTGCATTAAAAAAGTGAAAATAATTGAAGAGATACGTGATTCAAGTGATTTTATCATCGACTAAGTTATCTAATATACTAAAAGCTCCAATCCTGTTATACGAAATGATTCTAGAAACTGGGACGAGTCGTGGCTTTTTCCTAAGCACGGAATAGAATAGGAAAAGTTGGTCATGGAAAGATTTTAACAAGATTTATCCCTTTACGATATTTCCTCTGCAATCTACGTGCAACTTGAATTGCGCATAGTCTCTTTAACATTTTTATTAATTTTTTTATTAATTTTTTAATTTCGTTAATTTTCTTCGATAGATTTCTCGTCGTTTGAAAAAATAATAGAGAGGGGAAAAAAAAATAATAATTTTTTCGTAACAATTTCCATTCACAGTTTAATATAATATAAAGTAATGAAATAGATACGAATGGATTAATAAAAGTAAACATAATATTATGGTATCGAGAATACAGGGAATATTCGAACTCTTATACTCGTATGTAAACAACGTATATTTATGCCGCGTATATTTAGTTTGAGACGTCGAACGCGGCAGCCATTATTCATCCGACCGTTCTATCATTCACTTCGATGGAGGAAATTACGAATCGCGTGTCTAGCTGATCGAACGTCTGACGTCTATCCTTGAAAATAATTTCTCGGCTTTACCCTTTCCGTTGCTATTTCGCGATTTCTTCTCGATTGATGTTTAATTAACGAACTTGCAAAACTATCCACGTCAAATATCTCCGACAATTTTTATAGTCCATAAATCAATCGTCGGTTAATATTCCTTTGCGTATTTTTAAACGTTCAATTTTAAATTCAATAGATATTAAGGACACAAAAGAAACGTTTTATTTTTACATTTTCATTTTCTATTAAATTTTAAATAACAAAAGGAGAGGGGAAAAAAAAGAACAAAGAGATAATCGAATTCGATTCCATGGACAAACAAGCACGCATTGATTGGTTTGTACACTTGTTAAATCAGAATTTCTTCCGACAGAATAACTGAACCCGAATGCCTAATCGAGCAGAGATCAGAATTCATCGTTCCATGGCACCAAAATCGTACACGAATGAATAATTGGGCGGTGACCTCGGTAACTTCCAATTATCGATTTACTGGGCATGTTAGGAATCTAACACCAGGAACATGCAAATGCTCTTTCGGATCAATGTTAATTAACCGAGTCAAAAATTCTGTCAAGTCCGGATATAACATGCTGAATGATTTTCGACCGACCGATTGCAACCGTTTCGATCATTGGATCTATTCGGAAAGAGAGAGACGAGAGAGAAAGACAGAATCGACATTTGACCATCGTTTCAAACATCGAAAGTGAAATGAATTAGGGGCATTGTTTCGATTGAAATAGAATACGAAATTAATGGATAATTTGGAACCTATTTAACCGCAATCTGTGAGGTATTTGTCAATATTTGATATCGTATCGTAGAGTGACAATTTATCAGCTTTAATTGATATTTATTGCGACGAAAGTAGCGCACTAAATTTGTACCATGGATAAATAGTGAATGACTGTCAATCATTTATTTTTCGAAAATATAAAACTTTACATATAGAGAAAATATAAAACTTTACATATAATACATTAATGTTTTTAATTGACATTCGTTCTGCTGATAAATAATTTTAAACTCGGACCACATGAAATTTAACCTAAAATCTTCTAAATAACTCGGGATATTTCAATTTTCGATCACCATCGATAAACTTTTCCATCAAAAATTCATTGTTCTCCAAAGTAAAGGGTTGACAAAACGGCAGGGAATGTAAATTCAAATTTTGGTCAGTGAGTTCTGTCCATGATTTTGAATCGTGGCGTACCGCAACAGAAGCAAACACTGTCAATACATATTTTCCGGGTGGCGGAATCGTTTTGTGTCCGAATTGGCCAGCTTGAATGTATATAAATTTGAATTTGAATGGCCGCTCGTGAACGTGGTATCGAGACAAAAGCTAATATTTTCACGAGGAGGAGGCCATTCCGTTCTTTGCCGCGCTCGATCGAATCGCTTTCAATTCGAAATCGTACGAATCGATCGAACTTTTCTTTCTCTTTTCTTATTTCGACACGCGAAAGCCACGTTCGAAGAAACGTCGAGTACTGACACAAAGCAGTTCGATAGCATCGAACTTCTCGCGTCGACCTTAATTAAAAGTTTTAATTAAAGGTTAGCACGAACGGTTGCACGGTCTATGCATATTCAACGCTGTAAAACATTTTTCCCACCTATCTGGTTCTCCGATATTTCTTTAACCTGGCTATTTAATAGTATTTTGAAAGGTTTATCCTTGGTGTTACGTGTGATCTTAATTGGAAAATTTTTCCATTTTCCAATCATTTTGATACGATTGACAGTCGTGTCAAGTAGAATCTTTTGGAATTTTAATCGTACGTGGTTTCTTAAAAACGTTACGTATAATTTTATTCAACTATCTTGCAAATTTATTATGCAAATTTAGTCAAGATAGTTGTTTATTATTACTAGTTATTTATTAGTACATTTAGCCTCAAAAACGAGGCTTGTTTTTTATTATAAGCGACAACTTTTTTTCGAATATTACACCTAGGACGAACTACTTCACCGATGACCTGAATAGCTCGATCTTGGTTCATCTAGCAATCCAATTAACCGACTTTTCTCCTCTGTGCAATTTTCAGAACTGGGACTCTCTCTTTCTCTCTCTCTTGTATACCTCTGTTTTGTACTCGCCTTCTCTAAAAATATCAGAAATTATTAACAAAAAACTCATCAACCTACATAATTTATCCTCTCGCAAATATATTCCGTAAATGAGATATATTCGTACGTACGAATGAAGAGATAAGAAGAGAACTCGTTGGACATCGAAATTTCTCGGAAAAAGGAAAAGTGTGGAGGGTGATAGGCGAATGATGAAAAAAGCGAATCACGAGTGGAAAAGGCAATAAAGGGAAGCAAGGACTGTTTGTAATTAAGAGTGGGAGACAATGGCATCGAGATATTTCGGTGAGGGTGAATTCTTTCGCAGCCAACAATACTCGTTCTCTCGACGAGTCAAGTGACTTGTCGACCTCTCTTCGGTATAGAAACGCGAGAGTGGACTGAAATGTGGTCCGAGCTCGTTTAGAAAACCGGAAGGTGGATACACATCGATCGATGTCCCGTTACCCCCGAAATATTCGCCTCAACTGCTAAGTAATTCCACGAAGTGGGAACGATTGGGCGGCCCTATTTCATTTTTCCATTATGTTCAACGCGAGAACCTTTCCGAATGGCGTAAACCACGTTTTTGTCGAAAAATCGAATAGGCGGAGAAAACGAAAAATATTCGATGTTCGTTCCGAATAAAAGGATAAAAGGATAATAATTTAAATTTACCCGTGAGAAACGTTTTGTCGTTTTATGGGCAAAGGTAATATTATTTTCAATGATAATACAAGAGAATGGAAGTTCTCCCGTCGATATATTTCTATCAAGTATATATTTTTTTTAATAAAAAAATGTGGAATGAGAACAGGGTAGAAAGTATATCCTTCGTTGTAGTGAATCGCTTCCGAATCGAACTCGAACAGTCACGACCGACAGCTTTTCTATATGTACTGTGTGTAGGTATGTATATATAGCAAATAGACGTCAGAAAGAGCTGCATGGATTTCACTGTGGTACATGTACTACATGGGTTCAGCATACAATGCTATCCTGCAGAATTGGATAATATTAAAGGTGAACTTCCATTCGAAAAAAATTACTCGAATGAAACATTTAACATAATAATTTTAAAGGTAAAATTAATTAAATATTTATTATTTTACTTAGTATTAACCATTATATAACGTATTTCGTATAATATAATTTATATATTTATTCCAAAGTTTACGTGTTATTTATAGAAAAAAGAAAGCGCGATAAAAATCACGTTTTCCACGTTTAATTCTATAATCTGGATTTAATCTGCAGAGTATGTACCGTATCGTTAAACGTTTTAGAAACTTTCTTCCCACACGTTATCGTGTATTCGAAACGTTTCGAGATATCGATACGCTAAACTAGATTTTCTTTTTATCATCTCGCGAGGCAATAATTAAGTAACACGTTCGTAACGTGTTCGAATATTTTATTCGAAACATAGGTAACAAGGAATAAAATATCGTCTCGAATACAAATGATCGTTAATTAGCAAAACATCATATCCGACGAGGAGACGATCACAGATATAATCAAGCTTTGTGGCACCGTGCCATTTTCACCCCTTTCATTCCCGAATTTCCATCGCGAAATCGCTTCGAAATCGTTGCGACACGCAAATTTTCATTCGTGTGTTATCGTGTGTTATCACACTCTGTCGATCTAAATGTTCAATTGGCAACGTTAAATTTCGTCAATAATATTTCACGAAATTCTCATTCCTCTATATTTCGATATTTCGAAATCTTTGCATTTATATCATAAATATTTTTAATATATATATACATATATACAATTTCACTAATTTAAAGTTATTTCGAAATTAAAAAAATAGAGATATTTTAGAAAATTCCAGGTTTTTTTTATTATATTTCAACGCTTACAATCTCTCTATCGATTATATCACTTTTTCCACGATGGATACACATGGTTAATTTAAAAAAATATTTCAAATTTTTTAGAATTAACGATTAAAATTAAGAGATCTATACGATTCACGATCACGTCGAATCTAAAATCTCCAATACAAGAAAACTTTCTACACCACGATTCCAAAGCGGGGATCGCCGATCGAACCCGTACTCCGTATATTTAACGTCATTATCTCGTCCGCACAATACGATCCATTATGAATCGCATCCTATTATTCATTCTGAAGAAGAACTTAACAATCCCGTGGCCGGAACGTGAATGGGAGGCATAGTGAGCCAGTGTATCGGCGTAACATCGGGCTTACGAAATAATTCACTAAACGAAATACACGTTAGGCGTCTAATATCCCTCGAGTCGTGATCTCTCGATAAGCCTCGATACAGATAGGAGCGATCGGGAGCGCTCGTGCGTGTCGAATCATGGGAATAGATCGACGTCCGACCAACTTTCCAACGCGCGGGAGGTTATCACAAGGGTTATATTTGGCATCTACGTGTCTTTGGTAGGCCAAGAGAGAAAGAAAGAGAGGGGGAGGGGGAGGGATGCAACGCGCAATTATGCGTCGGCAAAATGTGTAAAATTCGATTTCGATTATGTTTCAGCCGCTACACGATCAACGTTCGAACGCGTATTCTGGAAAGGATAGGAGACGGATTCCTGGGCTGAGCAAGGCGCAGAGGCGTATCAAAGCGTCGAGCACGCCTGCGCTTTTGGATCGTGATGTGGAAAGGTGAGTGGTTATTTTTGAAATCGGTTTTTATAATCCGTTCGATATCCTGGGGGGGCTATTCCCCCGACTGAATTTTATCGGCGAGCCTTGGGTCGTGTCGAATGATAGTCTCTCGAATTTTCATTCTCGTACTTATAGTCTCTACGCGATCCTTTCGAGATGTAGTTTATCGTTGGCAAGTTTTCGGGTTTTATATAAGTTTCGGGTCGATATATTTAGGATTATTTCTTCTTTTTTTTTTTTTTTTAGAATATTTGCTGTATCTTCTATTGTCGTTTTTATCTTCTATATTATATCTTTGAAGATATAGTATTAATAAGATGTTTGTAAGGTGTTCGAATGTTAGAATGATCTTTAGAAATTGTGATCTTTAGAAATTATCTAGGATTATCCCTTTCTCTTTGGAATGATTTATTATCTTTCGTGATATTCTTCTAAAAATATATAGCTTTTTCAAAATTTAGTCGTCCATCAGTGGAAAAAATAGAAACGTAAATTGTAATATTTCACTCGAACTAGGTAGTATTTCAAAATTCTGCTGGGCGCGCTTTCATTTCATTTTCTGTCACCTTGTCTCGCGTGTACAGCTGGTGTGCGGCAGATAAGGTATGAAACCTGTCCGTTTCATGCCTGGTAGGCTCAAATAGGGAGATTTCCCTATTTTAGGAAGTTAATGTTTGCCTTGGACGAAAAATATTGTATCTGCAAATATTGGAGAAACTTTACAGAATAGTTGGCTTCCTCGGTTGTAAATACAATAAACAGTGAATTTATATATTTTTAATAAGGACTCGTTTGAGAAGCTAGCCAACAATTTCCACGTAACGTAATATAATCTTGGTAACATAATGCGATATAATGAATGAACTCAGTGTAAATTACTATTATAAATCTCGGGAGCAAACAAGTAGAGATACTTGACTGAAAATTAAGAGAACAATGCGAGAGTGACCTTATAAAAACTAGGTAAAAGAATCGAGTGTCGCTTTTCAAAAGACGGTCATTATTATTAGGTAACCAAGATAGTTTTGTCGTTCTTTTTGTGGTTGGAAAAGAAGATGTTAGAAGATTAATATTAATTTCTGTTCACATAAAAATGTAATTATATAAATTATTTTCACAATGTTTATTTGATTTTAATCATCGATGTATAACATATACATTTGGATAATAAATATTATCCAAGAAATATATAATTTTAGATATAGAAACATATAATTCATAGTTGTCTATAGATCAAGTTTTTTATCTATGTATATCATAAAAGAGATCACACAACTTCTTGGTTACTTGATAATTACAAATAAGCACAATTCTAACGATTTATTTTTATCTTTCCATAAAAGAAAGGAATTACAAATACGTATTATTAATTATTTATTACTTTTTACAAAGAAAAAGAATCTAACATATAAATCAAAACTGAATGAACAGCAATTTCCACTTTGCTGTGTTATCGATATCATGGAAAGGTAAAAATAGTTTAAAAAAAAAAAAAACAGCTGATCGAAGAGCGAAGTATAGATCAAAGGTGATGGATTGATCCAGGTTCGTTTGAAGTGGCTCGTCTCTTGCTTTCCAACCTTCCATCGTGACCTCTTGATCCCCTCGGTGTGTCTCGCAGTCGGGGTTGTTTGCCGAGGCAAGAATAAAGATGTTACTTCGAATGACCCTGCTAGGTTCCATCGACTTTGTACCTGGACGAACATTCATCCAGTCGTTGCTCTAATTACCAGTTGAATAGAAAATCTCTCGCGACATCCTCTTTAGTTTTCACGGAAGCGTACATTTGCTTCCGGTCTGTTTCATTCCAAAACAAGCCCTGTTAATATTTCACGAGTGACTCTCTCAGGCAAATCGACCGAAATAATAGATACTTTTTCATTTTGTCTGCTAGTAATGATCGATTGGAAGGGAATTCAATTAATCTTTTTTTTTTTTTTTTTTTTTTTTGAATTTTCTTTCAAAGATTCTTTTTATTCTTATACGAAACTCAAATATAAATATTTGATATCGTTTCATTTTTTATTTAAATAATTCTCTATTACTAATCTTCGAGATTAAATCGATATACGAAATAATAGTGATTCAATTGAATTTGATAATTGGAATATTTTGGACAAGTATTTTACTTAGAAACTAATAACATCGTGTTAATTTTCTTTCCGTCCGTTAAAATTTGTAAGAAAAATATTTTCTTTAAAATATTTCTTTGTTATTAGTTCAATTAGAAAGTCTTGAATAGTGGAAACGGGTCATAGTTTTATCGAAGCGATAACAATTTAGTGGAACGTTAATTTTCTTCGCTTCGAAAGTTCTCACAACTTGGAATCCCCCCTCCCAACAATGAGTCGCAGTTGGGTATTATTCTAATTTGAAGTTTTGGAGAACGGTAAGTTCTTCATTCATGACTTGGCCAAGTCACTTCGCTTCCACTTGCGCTCCGTTTAACACCACGAACTGAACTTCACTCGCATTCGTTTGTATTCACTCGTTTTGTATTTAAAATTCTAGATTCCAAGAGATAACGGGATAAATCCGAAAGAGAAGAAACATCATTTCGTGGCGAGATTTAATTAAATTTTTTTTTTTCCTTTAACTTTGGACTAAATTTCGTTCTTTAATTGTAAAAGTCAATATTTTCGAGTTTGATTTTTTCAGATTTGATTTCACCAGAAAGTAGAATTTACATTTTTTAGTTTAAATTTAATTTCCAAACTAAATATTTAAATAGACGGAATTTTAATTTAAAAAATTCAAATTTATATGCGTTTCTAAAGATACTTTTATTTAAGAATTATTTAAATTTGCATTTTAAATTCGTAATATTCAACGGGAACACGAGAAAGAATACCTGTGATGTCTTTTAAGATCGTTTAAGAAAGAATATTACATCTTAATATTCTTTGACTTTATTCCATGGCTTTGCTGTCCATTAACAAAAGAAACTTACTCTCATCTTTCACGAACATGGAAAACTTTTTTCTCTCTATTAATCATATAAAAAGACAACACATTTTTTTCTGTATTAACATTTCTCTTGACTTTTGCAATTCCTTTAAAAAAAAAGGATACAAACAAATTTTCATATCAATTTCCAATTATATGATGATAATTTTATAACAAACCATTAAAAAATTTATTCTAGAAAAAAGAACAAGCAATATGTTACAATTTAGATAGAGTTAAATTATTTTGGAAAAGTCAAAAGGATCGAGGAGAAACTTATAGTATGATCGATGAATTAATGATCGGTTTTCTGGTGAAACCAGTGCCAGAAGAGATCGAAACTCCTACGTAGCATTCACAAAAGTTGAGTACGTGCCACCCACGTGTACTAGATTTGAACGTAGACCGATAAAAAGGAGAGTTATCGTGTGTTCGTGCCACGTGTCTAGCTACATAAAAGTAACAAAATGGAAGAAATGACAGAAGAGATTGCCGACAAACCGGTAGGAACATCGTGAAAAGTAATAATACCGGGGACGTGACTCCTCGTTTTCAACCTCTAACGATATTTTTACAAATATTCATGGAACCTTCTTCGAAAATGTTAATGCATATCTTGCACAATTGGAATAATATTACGAGAGATAAATGGGAAGTACTTTTTAATAAATGAAAAGAGTAAAATAATTCGAGATATACTTTTATTATTTCTATATTTTCATTCTTCCATTTTTCTTTTTATCATTTCATTATTTTAATAATGAACGAATTTTAAAAAACAAGAAAAAATTTTATAATGTATAACCACCTTCTCAATTCAATAATTATTTTATTTCATTTGTTATATAATTTATTACTTATATATAATAGTATATATATCACGATTTCAACGATATTTGCAATGAAGAAACAGAGAAAGAGAGAAAACTATCGTCTTTTTGGAACTCTTTTAAACTCGCAAAGAGCGAAAAACGGATCCATCGCGGATCGACACGATTTCTTTGAAACTCCGGAAACACAGGAAGATTGCGGTGTACTACCGGTTTCGTGGAGTCATGAAAGGGTTGAAAAAGAAGATAGAAAGGAAAAAAAAGAAAGAAGCGCACAGAGGACACAGAAGCACGACAACGGAGATTAACAGAATGCTCAAAGAGTCGATTTGTGCACCGTGTCAAATTTGTAGGAGGTGGTGTATGCGTCCACGATGGGAAAGAGAGTAGAGAAAAATTCCTCCGATTAAAAGGAGAACGAGAATGGACCACTGTCACTACAATGGATAAATGGTACCTTTTGTGGAGACCGACGGCTCTTCTTAGGCCGCTCTTCTCTTTTTCTCTCTCTCTCTCTCTCTCTCTTTTTCTTATCCGCCCACAACCTGCCCTCCGTAATCGAGAGAAGAGGACAGAGGGAATGAGGGTGGCACGAAGCGAAAGGAGAGGACGAGAGGGAGAAAAAAAAGGCAGCGTGCAAAAGGTGGGAGAACGAGCAACCCCTCATGCCGGTTTATACCTGAAGCGACCCTCGAAATCTGTTCTCGGAAGAGTTCACGAGGTGCACACGGGCACACAAGCACATCTTGCACGTGTACACACACGAGTGCACGTGGGACACACGTGAGACTGGATTTGTGTGGCTGTCGGAGCCTTCAGTCGGCTGCGGCTCGTCGTTCAATGCGCTTCCTTCTGGGCCAGAGTGGTTTCGACCGATTTTCTTGTTTTCGGGAGTGGCCTTTTGCATTTCTCGTGATTCCTCGAACCAATGTCGCGTTCGAATTGATGTTTTTAAGGAGAAATTTGAACTCTTGTACGGTTTCTATTCGAGAAACGATCGAAGAAGAAATGAATTGTGAGGATCGTGATCGTTTTCTTTTACGTAGTTGAGTGATTTGAGTATATGGAATTTTTTCTACCTTTTCTCGAACGTTTATTATTATTTATGAAAATTATGTAATGTTTGTTTTGTAATTTTGTGAAACAAAAAAAGAAGAAGATCACGAAGAAACATGTGTGCGTAATACACGTGATTATATTGATCAACAAGTGACGGTTCCTGGTTGGAAGCAACGGTGGGCTAATATCGTAAAATAAAAATTCTAGTATACAGGAAGGACGATTTCCGTGAATATTTTAATACCAGGGATTGTATAGGCCTACGAACGCGGCACGACGGACGTGCACACGCATATGGTGGTGGTTTGGTGTATACCGGTCGAAGATTTCAGTCGCCTGTAGACCATCACTCGACGCATTTCCTGTCTAAAAGTGGTTGCAAGTGGTTCTTCGTGCGTCGAATAATCTCGAGTATTTTATTATCTAGTGTCGGATCGTCGTATAAATGGAATGAACTGTGAATGAAACCTTTCTCTTCTCTCTTTTTATTCTTTTTATTTCTGTTTCGTGGTAGTGCTAAATCGGAGACAAGTTTTTCTCGATCCTTCAAAACGAAATCTTCGCTGGAATAATTAATCATTTCGCAGGGAATATTTTACGTTTAAAATGTTTTCGAGTGAAGCGAAAAATGTTCGTTCCTTCGTCGTGAAAAGTTTGTAGAAGTAAACTCGTAACAGAACGAGAAGCGGACGAAGCGTAAAATGTAACTGGAGCAAGAAGTAATGAAACACGTCGGATAAACATTAATCTGGAAGAGGAAAAAAATCGATCAAAATTGTCTCGATGATGTGGTACGTCGTGACTCTGCACCATATTTTCTCATTAATTTGGTTGAGAAAATCGAGTAAAAACGTAAAAATATTGTTTAAAAAAAAAAATGATTTTAACTACTGTAACTGTGACGTTAATTTATCATTTTTGCATTGTCAGCGTAAAAAAACGACAAAATATTTTTACGTGTAATTAACTCATGAAGGACAAGTAATGAGTCAGAAATTTCATTATCTCGAAAAAAAAAGTGTGCGCAATATAAAGCATATTTAATTATCTCATTTATTGCTAAAAAAAAAAAACTTGCAAAATTTATGTTTCCTTTGAACCAATTGATCTCGTTGCAAACAGGAACCATTTATTTCTTACCACGCTAAGAGAAAGACATTTTAAAAACAAACTCGAGAATCTGGCTCGATTATATCGCGATTTAAATTAATAACTCTTCAATAATAACACCTTGGAGTAAATCACTCTTACGAATATCGTTTCACCCAATCAACAGTTTCACTTAGAGACCGTATCAACGATATTGATTATTTCAAATCGAAAAGATCATAATCTCTCGCGCTCCACATCTGGCTACGTGAAATTATTTTCTATTCTCGCGGAATTTTTCCATACTTCGAAACGAAATAACGATACGTTCCCCGTTGCTCTTTAAACAAACACCGATCGTACGTTTTTTTTTAAAGAAATCTCAAATCGATTACGAATTACATTCTACATGAAAATGAATACAATCACACTTCGAGAAATTCTGTAATTAAATATTAAACGACTCGTCGTGACTCGTCGTTGAATAATTTCGAAATTTTTCGAAAGCCACAAACTTCTCAAAGAGACGGCACTCGCAGGAAAAGACGTCTCGTCTCCATTATGCAACCACCTGAATTCCAAATTAAAAAGATTATAATCTTTTACATTCTGCATTTCGCATTTCAAATCATATTCTATCAGAAAAGAATATAAATCACGTCTATCATAGAATTTTTTTCTCAAATGTAACAAGTAACAACACATTGTTCTTCAAACAAATATCGATCGTAGATGATTTTATTGGAGAATTATCATATTAGAGAATTATCAATATATTAGAAATCACATTTCATGTGAAAGTGATACGTACAATCAAGCTTCGAGAAAATTTTTACAATGTAATATTACACGTCAGTTGGATAATTTCGAAATTTTCGGAAACCGCAAGTTTCCGCTTCTCAAAGAAGCGACACTCGGAGGATGCCTCGTTTCCGTTATGCAGCCTCGTGCAACCACCTGGTCAGCTGGCGTGCTTGGTGTTCAGCTGCATAAATTGCCGTGAGCAGTTTCGTGATCTATCAATTTTATAACGCACCTCTCGCGAGAGGAAAGAAACGGTGTAGAGTTTCCTGCGATCCGTAAATTATTTTCCATTTACGATCACAATGGGCCATTGATTAAACGGATAAATCGGATCGATCGTATCCATTAGCTACGTATGCGTGTGTACGTGTGTAAGAAGATCGAGAATTATGGTTGAACAGCCTGAGCTTTTCTTTTCGTTACGAGATGATCGAATCTGAAGTTCAGAAAAGATTTTACGAGGTCAAGATATATAGAGGATTGATAACAAAAGCGATCCTTGTTAAATTTCAATTATAAAATCGATTTGATTAAATATAGTCCCTCTACAATATCATTACAATAATTGTGTATTAATGTATACAATAAAAATTCTGTCAAATAAAAATTTCAATGTATCGAACAAAAGTTGAACTTACTTCTTTGGGATATAATTTTTCGAAGAAAATAAAATTACAACCAAAAGATTATAAATTCTATAAATTCAATATTTTCTAATTACGCATTAACATCTATTTTTTTATAAAGAAATTATTTTTATCATGTTATAAAATTTTACGAAGGAATTGGAATGTCATACGTAGCTTATGGCAAGTTAATTAAAACGAAATGATTTTAAAAATATTTGTCCATTAAAATGAATATCAAAATAACATTCGATTATATTATTGGAACAGTCGACAGTGGTCGGGAGACGAAGAAGACGAGGGCACAACAGGTCACGTAACAACGGAACATCCTCTGGCAGAGGCGACAATTCCTTTGGTCTCCCATTCGCGACTTCAAGAGCAGCCCTCTAACTTAAGTGGCAATCTCGTGACCGCTTCTGGAACCCAGAATCCTCCTCGTTCGAGCACGCAGAGCCAGCAAGAAAGCGTTCTGCAGAAATTTAGAAAAAGTTTCTCCTTGAGGTTTCACAAAAAGGGCAGCAAGGAGAGCAACGAGAGCGAATGTCCGGCCGAAGATAACGATGGATCCGGACCTTTGGACGAGGAGGAAGAAAGGGAACCACCTACTGTGACTGAACAGACCCCTCAACATAAAGAAGACACCAATAATGACCAGAAATTCCGGTTAGTTTAATGTCATACTATCTATTTTATCTTCTTTTGAAAATTAATATTCTTTCGCTTAAATTAAGAGAAATTATAATTGCAATTTAAATGAAAGAAAATAAACGTCGAATCTCGTTTTTTCTTTTTACAGATTCGGTCCTCTTGTATGGAGAAGCAGTAAAGAGAGGAAAAAAGGCAGCAAGGCTGCCAGAAACGCGAAATGCAACAGCGGAGATAGTGGAATACAGATCGAGGTAAGGAAACAGAACAATAATTAACAATAGACAAAATGCACTCATACTTTATATATCATAAAGATAAAATTTTAAAATTAGCCAAATTAACTATAACCTATATATTTCCTTGAACATTCTCTTGCCGGAGAGATACTTCACACCGATACTTCACATCATCTCATGCAACTATAATTCTCCCTAGAAAATTAATTTCCTACAAAGCGTCACGCCAGTCGATGGACTTTGTGTATCGAGAAAAAAAAAAAAGAAAAAATTAAAGAAAGTGTAATTTAGATCGGACGAGTAACGAAGTAAATTATGAACGATATAGATGGTATCTGGTGGAGCATTGACTGGGGGTGGTGGTGGTGGTGGAATGATGGGGGGTGGTGATAGCTCCGAGTCCCACGACACGGATGTCCAAGACGAGACGGACAGCCCGCCAGCCCTTCGCAGGCGAGTCGCCGACAAATCACGACCCCAGTCCGAGCTCATCAACCAGATACTGATCGACAAGTTTAAGGTAAAGACTATCGTTCTTTGCCCCCGATTCTTTGTCCCCTATGCTATCTTCGTTAATCATTAACCAATCATCAACCGCACGAGAAGTTATCGTATCTGTGCTTAAACGTCGTTGAATAAATGGGAATACCGCAACGAGAGAGTGTTTTGTATTTTGATTAAGTTTTGCTGAGAAGAAGTTATTCGAGAGGAATTTTGGGTTCGATTTTTATTACGGATTAAGGTCAAAGTGCAATAAAAATAGAAATATGTATTGATCGAAAATCTCATAATCTGGCATTGGGTGATGGTTAAACGAGAGGACGAGGATCCCTTGGGCCTCGAGACTTGTTCTCAGTAAAGTATAGCGTGTATTTTTAGTAATAATAGGTATTTTCAATCATTTTCGTATATCGATGATCTTTTGGAATGTCTATTTAAACCTTTGGCTATGGTTCTGAAAAGCATCGATGGCCGATCGAAGCGAAACTTGAAGTAATAAAGATGTGGTTCTCAGTCTGTAGATTGCGATTCACAAACATTGCTATTTTTATTTAATGACTTTCAGCGTTTATTTATTTGAATATTACATATTTGAATATTACAAAAGAAAGTCGTAATTTAAAAAAGATTTAAAAATAGTAATAGTATAAAATTCATCTCGATCGACCAGCAATATCTTTCTGGATATTCAATTTTTCAAATTACAAGACACTCTCCCAATTACAATTCCATTTAACTGAGGATCATTAATTTTCAAAAGGCTAATAATTGTATGGGATAGTAAGAAACGAGGATCTCGAAGAGAAACGCTTTCCTGCTTTCGATGGACGTACAAAGCGATACATTTGTCATTGGATGTTTGCATACGTCGCTTTTTATTTTATTTATGCGCAATTTTTCCCCCTTTGTGTCTTACCATGGCGCTCTCCCTTCCTTCTCATTTTCACCCGATGATGTATAATTATTGCTATATTGAGAGTGTTGCACATTTGTAATCATTATCAGTCCACACGTATGACTGTTTCCTTCGACACAATAACTGGCATTACTCACGTTTATGGTTTAGCCACGCTTCGTGCAGATCACCGACAACCGACTGATACCATAGCAGCACGATATATCGCGTTAACCAGGATACGAGAAGAGGAAGCACAGTCCTGGTTTAGTTGATATCTGACCGAGCGACCGACCAAACACGATTTATGGAAATATGGACGAAAGTCGAATCACTGTTTGCTCTTCATCATTCTTGTTTTTGTCTTACGTGATTCGCGTATAACGACGGCGTATTTTCGAGATAATGTGAATCGGTTATTTACGGTGAAGCGTCCATTTACGGTGAATCTTAAGTTTCGTGCAATTGATAAAAAAGTATTTGAAAATTTATGTGAATCATATAAGAAACGAAGATATAGAAATGTGAATAATATACTATAATTATATTGATAAGAAACACGTGAATCATATATACGAAGATATAGGAACGTGAACAATGTAATATGGTAATGTGTTTCGACAAGCGTGAAAGCAACATGGCGCCTCTTTTCTAACACCACATATCTAACTGCACTAATCTATTAGGTCACGTCATAAGTAATTTCGTTTTGAAGACCTAGTTTCAATGGAAAAATTACATTTCATGCATACATTTAATCTATATATATATCTCATTTTTCAATCCATTTTGCAAAAAAATATTTCATCTTTTCAATTAAAATACTATTCTGACATCAATTTATATACGATCTTTCATTTTGTAATAACAAATGTTTTATTAACAAACAAACAAAATTCTCTGCACCAGAACTAAAATTACTTGTAAAATGACCAATATCCACGTGTATATATACCGTGTATCGAAAACCTTAACTCGAATACAAAAATATATTGGTGTTTGTACAAAATTAACAAATCTCCATTGGACGTGTAAATCTAATCGTAAACGAGAATGGGAACGGCACTTAACCCGCTCGATGATCAAGCAATTTTCTGGACAATTGGCTTAACGTCACATGACAAGAAGAGTCTCATCTTCGCTTTCACTATTAAGGAATCTTATGTAGTAACCGTTCATGTTTAACGAGTGTAATACTTTCCAGGCGGATCTTCAGAGTCGTACGTCGTCGAGGCACCAGCATGTACGTAGAACGAACAGCGATTTAGGAGGTCAAAGGTTACTCCAGTGGGATACGAGGTCTGGTTACAGCCACGCGCACAATTACCGCAGGATGCTGTCGACGCCATCGCCGATCAAGACGAGGCCTCCTAGGCTGAGCCCGAGGCACTCCTCCCATGACATCGTTACGCTGAGAAGGTGCGTTTAACGACCGTGATCAACCCCGTGGTTTCGCACCCTTATCGCAAACGCCTCATTTTGCCATCTTGGATCGGTTCTTCTAGACGAGAGAACTTCGTCCAATCGTCGCGGAGGGGAAAGAAATTTTGCGATTCGGTATTTAGATATATCCGCTCGAGACTTGTATTATTATTATTATTATTATTATTATTATTATTATTATTTTTATTATTATTATTATTATTATTATTATTATTATTATTATCGTGGATTGGATATTCGATTGGAAGCGTCTTGATGACTTTACAAATGTTGATTTTAACGAGAATCGTAAAATGGGATGGATGTCGTAGAGAAGGGAGACATGGAGATTAATTAATTCTTGGTATTTGGAGACATGAACGATTGCTTCGGCTTTTAATGTAAATATTGAAAAGTATTGTCTTGGTTAATTTAAAAATATATGAACTAACTAAACTGCTAATAAAGAAAAAAAAAAAGAAACAGCCATGAAAAGATAATCTAGGTGCTTAATTTATAATTTCTTTTAGCGAAGATCTGAATTGTTTAATCGTTGAAAAAAATGAACGTTATCTTGAATAATTTGCTTTTTTTTTTTTGTTATATTTTTGTTTCTTTTCTGAATCTTTCTCTGGATCTTTTTTTGGATTTTTTATTTTTTTTTTTTTAATTTCGTTTAATTCCAAATGAATCATAGCACGACATTAGAATATCATCAATACAATTTCTTGAAAGATTGTCCTTGAAGAAATTTAAATTCTTTATTCTCGAACCTTTCCAGTAAATCGAGGGAGAATAGTGGTAGGTAGACGGGTATTATAACAAACCATCTTTTTCTAATTTTTCCTCGTAAAACAGTTGATCTATCACGCGTTACTATGTTACGGAGTGGTTCTTTCCTATTTTAATCGATTGATTTTTTGTTAATTTTTTTTTTCAAGATATTTTATTATAATTTATCTTATTTATAAATATTCAACTATCGTTTAAATCACTTAGACGAATTATTATTTAGTAAATTACATATGTACAAAGTCTAGGATAAACCATAAAAAGAATTTAAAACGTAACATAATTTATAGCAATGAGGGAACAAAACTACATAATTATCAATAAAAAATGCGTTACATAAAAACGAACAAATAAACAATTTTTGAAGGCAGGAAAAATTAACAGAACCACTCTGTATACACGTGTATACCTTGTCGTATGTACATATACATATATATATATACATATATATTTACTTATTGTAACTCGTTGCTGAATGTTGTATCGATGCTTCTACGTAAACACAAAGCTTGTTGGTCCTTCATCCGAAAATATGGGAAGGAGAAGTGAAAAATTAATGAGAATTTTATTCTGGTCCCAGTAACGCGAAAGGGAGGAGTTCTCGGACAAATTTGAGGCGTTCACTTAGTCAACCACTGGGTATTAATCAACTATCACCCTTGATGCGCACCAAAACTGCAGGTAAACTCAAATAATTATTAATTTAAAATCTCACTTGTTGATATTGTTCAAATTCTAACGTAGATTACATACTTTCCTTTCTTTCGTTTCAAGCAAATGAGTTATTTATCATTTTTTCTTACTTCGAACATTTACAAATTCTTATAACTTTACACATTGATTCACAATCATATTATTGCATAAAATTTTTATTACAAATATTTATAAAGTATTTATAAAGATATTTATATAAAGTACAAGATCCTTTTTTTCTTTGTTTTTTCTTGTTAAAGCACATTGCTTGTTTGCTTGGTACGAAAGTACATTGGTAGCGAACCCGTTGACGAAGAATTAGTGCACACTTTCTCTATTCCAGTGGTACTCCAATCTCTGTTTCTCTTAGATTCACCATTTTTTCCGACAGTGCTCTAAATTAGCATGCACCCTTTGTAAAAATCTCAAAGCAACCGTTGTAACAGAAAGCACCTGTAAGAAGAGTTCTTGAACAGTACGGAATGCGGAAACACTCCTGTATTAAACGTGTTGATATCTTCGTTCTGTAAGGATTGCTTCCTGTGAATACGCTTTTGTTCAAAGTAGAAAGCAACTATGCTTTTTGGAGCTTCATGAAATATTTCAGAAATTCAATTTCAAATTAATTCCTTTACTTAAAATATTGGAAATATTATTCTTGCGTAAACTATATTATTTCATAAAGCTCTACTATTAGAGAAAACTAATTACACCCACAAAACGTGATAAACAATTTTTTAATCTTTCGCTGCCAATACCAGCAAGCCTACGATGGATACCTACAGGGTGATTTAACGATTATACGATTGTTCTCTCGTGTTAAAAAATTTATACGACAAATCCAGCGACAGATAAAAATTTATAAAAAAATTATCTTCGATCTTCGTGTTCTTTATTCCAATAATAAAGACAAGTGTCGTTTTGTTTGAAATCAGGCGCAAGGTTGCCCGGTGGAAACGTCCTGTCTGAGGATGAACAGGATGGAAGAGGTGGGACTTCGGATGACGAGATGATGTCCGATTCGGAATCCTCCATCGCCTCCTTGACGGATAGAAAGAAATCCTTCGAGCAGACGATGGACGAGGAGGTTGTAATCTTGGCTGAAGCTGTTTGGGACCACGTGGCGATGGAACCAGAGGAGTTAGCTTTCCGTGCTGGCGATGTGATAGAGGTTTTGGATAATTTGGATAAAGACTGGTGGTGGGGTAGTTGCAGAGGAGAGCATGGTTGGTTCCCGGCTGCATTTGTTAGGGTATGTTTCTATCGATGACTTAAAAATAAATTATTTACCATTTATTTGAGAAAAATGCAATTTATTAAGATATTCGCCGTTACATTTAATGATTTTATTTCATCTTTTAGGCAAATTTTAAATTCTTTGATATAAAAAAGATAGCGAATCGATATTGGTATTACTTTGAATTAATACATTGAGAATTCTTTGTTAAAAAAATAAACAAGTATTATTTTGAAGTTTGAATAACATCGTTGAATTTTATATCTTCAGTTACGCGTAAGCCAAGAAGACACTGTCGAGGATTGTTTGGCGGCGATGGCCTCTGGAGGTACATCGAATCAACAATTGAGAAGACGTACCAGTGTCTCGTTGTTATCAAACGAGCAAGTTAGAACGAGCGTAGTTCGTGAACTGGTTCAAACAGAGCGGGATTTCGTCAAGATACTAAGGGATGTTGCGGAGGGTTACATAGCTGAATGTCGACGACGCACGGATATGTTTACCGAAGAGCAGATAGAAACGATTTTTATCAATCTCGAGGAATTGTTAGACTTTCAATCTGAATTTTTGAAAGATTTAGAAACTAGGATAGATTGGAGTGCTCCGTATAAGAGTTGTGTCGGTGAATGTTTCCTAAATCATGTAAGAAAATTTTCTTATATCATTCTCTGTTTCTTATATCTTTTTGTCTCGATAACAATTGTTTTAATTTTTTAATATATTCTCTAAACTGTTTCAGAGAGCAGGATTTCGCATGTATTCAGAGTATTGCAATAGTCATCCTATGGCTACCGCCACGTTACAAGAATTATATCAGCATAATCGTTACAGTAAGTTCTTTGAAGCCTGTAGGTTAATGAGAGGATTGATAGAGATTCCTTTGGATGGATATTTATTGACGCCTGTGCAACGAATATGCAAGTATCCGCTCCAATTGGCGGAGTTGTTGAAATATACAAAATCTGATCATCCGGATTACCATAAAATTCAGGAAGCCCTTGAAGCGATGCGAGATGTCGCCGTTCTGATTAACGAGAGAAAAAGACGAATGGAAAGCCTTGAAAAGCTGGCTGCGTGGCAGCTAAGGGTTGAAGGATGGGAGGTATGAATTTATATTATCACTTGTATAAAATAATATATTTTAACGTGGAAATTTTTTAACATTTTTTTTTTTTTAATTCACAGGGAGAAGATCTCATAGAAGTTTCGTCCCAATTAATTTATCAAGGTGAAGCTGTAAGAGTCACTACTGGCATGTGGACAAATAATATCACCCTCTTCCTGTTCGATCATCAGTTAGTATATTGTAAAAAGGATATTTTAAAGAGGAATACCTACGTATACAAGGGACGAATTTATCTCGACACAAGCGAAGTGATCGATGTTCCCGATGGTAAAGGTAAGTTTTTCAAACCATCGTGTATTTTATCATCGATCCAATTCCAAATATCGATCATTTGTTAATCTTTTATTTACAGATCACCAACTGGGTGTAACAGTGAGGCACTGTTTAAAAGTGTACAGCTGTGTTCGAGATAAATGGTTGTTATTCTGTTGTCGCACAGCGGAAGAGAAACGTCGATGGTTGACAGCCATGGCGGAGGAGCGAAGATTGGTTGCACAGGACAGAAACGATGGGTTAGAGTTTCCTGCTGCAGCGAGGCAACTAGCCAGACTCGCTGCAACGAGACAACAGAACAGACCGCCAATTAAACCTCGCAGTACGTAAAATAATTGTTATCCGATTATTCGGATTAGAATTAATTTAAATCTTGGATAATAATTAGATATCGTTTAAATTTAATAATTACAGACAAAACGTACAAAAGAGAGTCGGCTTACGAAATGCCAACAATGGTCGGGCAGGCCACGACAAACTCGTTAGGGCGTAAAGTTGGCACTTGGTTCACATTCGGTAGCAGCAAGAAAAATACACGACTTCAGCCGTCCTGAGACAGGCCTACCTTCGTGCCATACATCGACTTGTGAAAGTTTAACGAGAAGCGCTCGATCGTTGCTTCGTAACTATGAATTTCGTTCACGCCGTTACTCGTGTGAGAAACTTTTCTTAAAAAAAAAGTTCCTTATCAGCTTGATTTATTCGGATTTTCTTCGATGTTTCGACGTTCAAGAATATTCGAATAATCAAGCGATCGAATATTTCGTTTTAATCAACACGAAGGCAAACGATAACAAGCGCTTATCATATGTATGGAACGAAGGTATTTTATTTATATAATTGTTAAGTTTGACGTTTAATCTGTCGATAACAATAATATCGATACGTCCTGTTGACAGGATAGTAAAACGCTACAATTTTCACCAGTCCGATTATATAGTATTCTTGTTTAATTTAAACACATACAGTTCGATAAAAGAAGAAGAAGAAGAAGAAAAAAAAAAAGAAAAGAAAAGTGTAACTTTATATCGTTGGCGATATTTAATTTCACTGCCTCGAAAAAGATTCTTCTACGCTTTCTCGTCTTATAATCACGCATCTATCATGAAGTTTGGACAAGGTATTATCACTTAGTTGTTTCTAGAAAATGATAAACGTTGTTTGTTCAAACTATAATCGCCAGAAATATTATATTAATTAAGCATAATTATAAATTTACGTAAAGGAGAGTATGCGTACAAGCAACGTTTATGAGAATATCTCAAGTGAAATGAAGAATATTAGAAAGTTTGGAGAAATATGAAGAGATCGAGCGGTTAAAAGCAAAGAAACAAGTATCGAAGCGGATCAAATTAGAAAATATAATCGAAGAAAAAAAGTTACATAAATTAGAAAAATGAATGCACTTATTATTAGACATGTATAAATATATATATGTGTAAAGCCGTTAGTGAGCTTTTGCGGTACTAAAGAGAAAGTACTAGTCACACTTATCATGGAAACACATGAAAGACCAGTGATGAAACTTTATCATTATTGAAATGCAACCGCTTGTATGTCGTGTACAATGGATTAGTAATGGCCATCCATTTTTTATGGTAATAAAGACTGATTGAGAAATGTTTGTTTTCCAGAGATTCACGAGTAAATAGGTATGAGGGAAGCACTGAGAGAAAAGTATAGTAAAAATGTAATCGAATTTCAACATAGATCAACTTATATATATATATTTGCAGTTTCAAAATGAAAAATCTTTTAATTGTATTTCTAGTTTGATGACAATTTAGATAATGTATTTTAGAGTGCACAGTGAAAAAAAAAACAATTGATACAAATATTATATCTTGAAATTTTCTCTCGGTGAAGCGAAACGTATCACATATTCATTAAAAAAAAAAAGAAAAAAAAATTTTAAATTGTTTCGCTCCTTTACTGCCTAAAATTATCATCATTTCATTTAAAAAGCAGTAAATTGTAATACTCATCATAGTTCGTATGAAGGTTTTAAATTTTTAGTAAATGGACGGAGAATTATATTTCTACGTCAGATATAGAGGCGGACAGTATTAACAATATAAATATCATTAAACGTGTAAATACTCGCACATCAAAGCTTCTTTTCTACTGCTGCTTTAGCAGTTTCTAGTTTCTAAAGAGGAAAAAAGAATCATCTGAGATATCTTTCAAATTTTTCTACTCTTGTACAGAAAAATGTTACAGAGAATATCACGATGAAAGCCAGGCAGCCAGCAAAAACCTCTGTGTTTTGTATGTTAAAGATTTAATGGAGTATGCATACTGTCTGTAATTCTTCATCGCATATTTCAATTAATATTTCAAAAAACTAATCCACTACCAATTGTGAAAGTTTTCAACACTGCCAATATGTTTATTAGATATGTTTTTTTTCGTTTCTGATAATCTTTATCGTTCTAACGAATGTATAATCTTCAAATTATATGTTTAAAAAAAAAAATTATTATTCTCTGCCTTCGAGCGTAATTTTACAATAAAAAAAAAAGAAGAAATATTTGTAAAACATAAACAATACACAGAAGTATATTTTTGCTTATTTTCTGGCATAGTATTTAGTATATGAAAAGGACAATATGATAACAAAGTGAAAGAGCAAGATTCCTACTCAATTGTACAGAGATCATTAATCATTGATGTGTAGATTAGAAGCGATACATTTATTGCTGGACCTAATTCATTTAAAACTTATTTTTATAGAAATATATTTATTTGTGCGAACGCAATTTCTTTGTAAGCATTGTTATGTAAGGACAATTATAATGGCCAATGTAACTAAACATAAAAAGAGAAATATCTACATATTAATTATAAATGCTGAAATGATAGTCATCATTACATTGCACAACTCAGAACTTTCATTGAATTTCACCGACATCGATAAAGAAAAAAAACTTTTATAAATTATCAGAGTAATATTACAAATATATGCAACATGTATTAATTATCGAAAAAAAAAATGAACATTACGATAATTTATTCTTTGCATTATTGTTCTACATATCTTGATAAAGACACGTAACTCAATATGTGATGAATAATTCGGCGTGTATTCTTTCTATATTTATAAATTAGAAAATTTGTATTATTACTCTGAAAATATTAAAACAAATTCTGCACAAATGATGTGCTTTGAAGCAATAATATTAATAAACTTTACAGTAATGACAGTTTAGGCTGTTGCATATATATATATGTGAATGCATATATTGTCCCTTGTAATATTCAATATTAGTTGCACGTGCATATTAATGATTGACATTATTGTATATCATTAATATACACGAACATATTACACTTTGAAATATTTAAAAAAAAAAAAAACAATTGATACGATAATGTATTTGATTTCGTGTAAATAACTTAGATACCGTTATGAATGTAAATATTGTAGAACTCGTCATTAGTGAAAATTTCAACATATTCTAGGCAATAAGAAACTTTAAAATTAAATGATATAACTTTTGGATAAGATTAATTATTGATTAATAGCACAATGTTTTGTATATTTGTATATTTAATTTAATGATTTAATAATAAATTACTCTCTTTGCTCGATTGTTCACGTTATAAATAATTATTGTTTATGATATGTACAGTTGAAATTACATAATATGTTTACAATTGTTTTCAAAATATAAATATATACTCAGTTAAATATATGTAAATAAACATTTTATAATTACTACATTATTATTATTTTATTGCACTGAATTATGCATTTCCTATACATTATTTTTTACAAATATAAGTAAAAATAATATATACTTTGGATAAAACTGTCATGGAAAAAATATTATAATAAAAATCCAAATTTCTATTACTATTTATTATGTATTTATGGAAATTAAGTACCAAGTATATAAGTACTTTTTGAAATTTGTGCTTTTAATTCGGAATTCTCTTTTCTTAATTGATTTACCACTTGTCTTAAAGTTTTAGCTTCTTCTGATAACTGAGCATTTTCGTCTAAACTTTGTGCGAAATTTTCCTGTATTTCTCGTAATTCTGTAATGTACTGACATGCTCTTGCCAAGATTCCTCCTTTACTCTATAAGTATAAAATTTCAATAAATGTTTGGAATAAAAATGATATAGAAAATGAATTATCAAATAAAATATAAATTATTGAAAAATTAGTTAATCAAAATAATACCTGCAACTCAAAATTCGTTTTTACATCTCCATCAGCTGTTGTACTTTGTTCACACTCTGGTAAAAGCTTTCCTAATTTTGAAATCCAATTATTAATTTTATCCCTACGACGTCTCTCAACTTCATTATGAGTTACTCTTCTTCTTTCATCTCTCTATATAATATTATTAATAATAATATTAATATTTTTTAATATATTTTTATTAATATATTAGTATTTTTAAATATTTTTTAGTATTTATTAATATTAATTATAAATCATATAAGATATTACCTTTTTAATGTTAGTAAGAATATTCTGAGGATTATCTATTTGAAGTTTAACACGTGGTGCAACTGTTCTTGCAGATTCTGAAGAAACAACTTCATTACCATTGCTAAGTACATAAAATTGACCATTTATAGGTGAAGTTAAAACTTGAACAGTATTATTTATTGGAGCAGCTATTGACAATTCAGCATTATTTATGTGATTATCACCAACTTGTACTACACGATATGCTACTGTATTATCATTCCTATTTACTTCACATAATTGATACTGTATATTATCTTCTTCTGTAACAGTTTCTATTTCTGTATCACAATCTATTATTTCAGCTTCTTCTAAAACTACACCAACATTATCATTGCTAATTGTATTCTCATCCACACTGTAAAATATTAAATATTAAATAAAGGTATACCAAAGAACCCAATTAATTTAGAATATTCTAAATATTCTAAATAATTTAAAATTATATTTTCTACAAGATAACCTTATAGATTAAAGTATATAATGTTCCGTATAAAACAAAATTTTATATTACGAAATATAAATATAGATTTATATATTCTATAAAACTTGAATATATAATTTTATATAAAAAAGAAATTATTATTAGTATATTAAATTTCATGTTTATAGTTATATTGTGTTTATATGTGAAGGAATATATGTAAAATAAAAAAAACAATAAGAAACATACCTTTCATCAATATTTTCGAAATGATTTAAAACTTCCATTTTAATTTTTTACTATGAATTTCTTTCAATCACAGTTTCTTTATGCATAAATGAATGTACTAAATTTCTTATTTATACTGAGATCTATTTTCTATAGCTAATACGTCACACAATTTGTAAAAATATGTATAGATGAAATTATTTATCATGTAGATAAAATTATTTAATATATATTAAATATTTAAAAATATTTCACAAGCAATTGATAATATCTGTATGTATTTAAATGTCAATATATAATATTAAATTTGATAACATACATATATACATACAGATATATATATATATATATATATATAGATATAGGTATGGTTAAATCACAGATAAAATACAGAATAGACTTAACATTTGATAGAAATTTGTATTTTATTTTTTGATTGTGCAAGAAATCATGTTTAGCATTTTTTTCTTTTAAAGAGGTGAGTACAAAAATTATATTCAATCATAAAAATTAATTTACACATTTTAAAAATAATTCTGATATATTTCTTCGATTATTACGAATAGTAGACTTATACATAAGTTGAATTATTCATGAATTAAAAATTATATTCCTATTTTTTACAATAGAAAAATACAATATTACAACACAATGAAAATAATATTAATTTTTGAGATTTTTTAAAAAAATACATTTAAATACATTAAAATATATTATTAAAATTATATTTATATAATGTTAATATACAATTATAAATATCAATATTTAAACAATAGATAAATAGATAAAAAGAAATAGATAAAAGCAAAAGAAGATAAAGTTAATTAAATATCGAAATCATCTTGAGCACATTTTATAAAATAAATATAGACAAGGAGAACAAATAATGCGAGAAGGATAGATATAGGGTAAAAATTATTGAAATCAGCGCCATCTTCAGAGTGCCCCAAATGAAACTCATATAAAAAGGACAGAAAATAATAAGAAAAAGATAGAAATAGAATGAGAATTGATCTTTAGTGCCATCTTTCGAGTATCAAAGACATTTCTTCAAAAGTAGGATAAAGTAGGTGGGAATTAGTTATTATCTCCATCTTTTGAGTAGTAAAGATATCTTTTTGAAAATAGGATAAAGTAGAAAAGAAATGACTATTCGCCATCTTGTAAATATTGAATATATCACTTTAAAAATCTTTTTAAAAGATTCGAAAGATGGCGATAATATTCAATTCTTGTTCTACTTTATCTTTCCTTTGAAATGATATCGTTAGCATTCGAGAGATGGCATTGATGATCAATTCTTAATCTATATCTATCCTTTTCCTATTATTTTCTGTCCTTTTTATATAAGTTTCATTTGCGGCACTCTAAAGATGGCGCTGATTTCAATATTTTTATTCTATTTCTGTCCTTCTTGCACTATATGCTCGCTTTATTTGGCGTTTGATTTCGGACATAAAGGGATGAGATATTAATTGAATATACTTTTATTTCTATTTCTAGTTTTTATTGTGAAATCTATTGATATTACATTTTTAACTTTACAATATATTTCTAGGATATTATTTTCTCAAAACAATATACTTTGATATATAATGTATGAATATTTTGATTCGATGACAACTATAATAATATTTTAAACAAATGAAAGCTTGATTCGACAATAAAGAAAGGAAGAAATTTTAAAGCTTTTCAATGAAAAATAATCTTAATGTCGGTAATAATATACAATATGTTTGATATTTTTTGAAGAAATGGCGCTACAAGTTAAATGCTAAATAAGATAACAGCGCATCTTATCTTAAACTTTTCTAGTACTATAATTTAATATAACATGGAGTGGTATCACTGCTTTAAGTGAATACTTTACCGTTTTGTGATTTAAATAAATTATTGCAAATCATTAAACGTGATATATATTAATATTAAACTTGATATATATTTCACGTATCTTTTTTATATATTTATTTGCAGTGTATTATAATATAAACAAAAAGATAGGTTATGGTTATTATTGATAAACATTGATAACATCAATATTTTTAGAATAGTATTCATATAAATTTCAATCGTTGAAGATATCGTATTCAAAGTTTATTTTTGTATATAATGAAGTATTCAAGAGAATTTATTTTTTTGTCAATTCATATTTTTGCAATCATTTTAGTTATTAATTGTGAAGATGAAAATTATTTTGAAAATATAGAGTAAGTATATACATTTCTATTAAAGTGTATATATAATTTTTAAATTTAACAATTAAATAATTTTTTTTACAAATATAAAATAAACAACAATTTTTTATAGGAATACAGAAGAATTAATAGATCCACATTCATTTTTCTATAATAAACAAAGTAAAACAATGATTAAAGACATAGAAGTGGACGTGTATGTATAAAATATGATATGTATATAATTTAGATTATGATGGAATTTTAATAATAATAGAGAAGTAATAGACATTATATCATATTATTCAAATTAGTACATAAATATGTATATATTGGTTTTTTTAATATAAAATTTTATGTATGTATAAATGTATATATTATATTCTGCATATAATATAATATATAATTTTTAAAATTTATATATATATGTATATAATATATCGTAACTTATTTTTAATAACATAAATAATTTTTAATAACAAAAATATTGTTTGTTAATATTTTTAGGGTAAAAGTTATGCAAAACAATAATGAAGATCAAAATAATTTGAAATCTTCTAAACAAGCAAATAATTATAGTAGTCATGAAGCTATTTTTTATAAGCGTTTAATTAATTTATTACTATCAAATATCCATATACAGGTAATAAAATAATATTGTTTATATATATTTTTCAAGCATAATAAAATATCATTATATTTATTATATTTTATATATTGAAAATAGAATGAAGATGAAGTATCAATAACAGGAATATTAGAAATTGAAATATCGCATTCTCAAATGGAAATACTCAGAAATTTCCATGTTCATAAAACATCTTTAAAAGAAATTGATGATATTTTCAGTAATATAATAAGAAAACCTCAATATAATTATATGTCTGGAGTTACGAATATATTAGATATATTGCATAAAGGTTTTCGTACAATGCTTCAAACAATACAAGAGCATGTAAGAATATTTGTGTTTTATATTAATTTATATTTTTATATTTAATGTTTTATATATATATTGAAAGAATTGTTATTTAATATAAAATTTATTATTTTAGCAAGATGGAACTATAATTATATTTACAATGTTAATAGTTTGTTCAACATTTAGAATGATAACATGGGGACGAAGATTTCCTATTTTCAGTATCATACAAGTTATATTTATATTGAGTTTTTTTATGACATGGTGGCAACTTATAAAGGTAAGTAATATTAATTATATAATGATAATATTTAAAAAAATAATATAATTTAATTAATTTTGTTGTATATTTTTCTAAAGGAGGCTGAAGTTAAATCTATTGCAGCACAAATGAAATTTTCAGAGATACCAATATCATGTCAACCAGATAAAATGAATATATGGAATAAATTTGTTTCATTCTTTTGTAAGTATTATTATATTATATTCATTTATTGTGAAATAAATAAATAATATTGTAGAATAAAATATTTTTTTTTCTTTTTAGATAATGACGATTGTGAGAAATATTATGAAACAATAATGACTAATCCAAAATTAAAAATTACACCTGCATTTGCATTATCTCATTTTATTACTACTGTTATTCTCCATCCAATTACTCATATAGGATCTATCATATCTGTTTTTATAAATAATGCTACAGGTAACTAAGTTTTTTTTTTCCTTAATTATAATTATAGTAACTTAAATAAATTTAATAGTTTAATTTTATGTACATGTGAATGTATTATGTATGTGTAAATTTAATAATTATTTTTAATGTTTTAGAAAATCTATCATGGACATATAGATGGATTATAAAATGTATACTTTTCTTATGTATAGGTTTTGTTATAATAACAATACCATTTTATCTGTCTGGTGCATCCTTTAATTTAGGGTTTGGACCATTATTAAAACTTAAAATTGGCCATGAGAAAAAGAAAGAAAAAGGTAATTTATTACAAAATATAGAAAACCGAGAACCTGTACAAATAATTCTTAAGGTAATATTTAGTTCCCTTTATTTTAATTTGATATTTTTATTTCTTATATTTGTCCCAATATTTTTACATATTTATTTGGAAACAAATAAAAGTGAACTCTTTTTAGGTAACTCATGGTACCGACGTAAATCAAATAACAGACATTCCAGTGATCACGCAATCGAACGCCCTACAAACTTTAAAAAAAGAAGAAGTAATTGCGACGAATAATGATTCTCAGAAAGATTACAATGATTTATGTTGTGGTGATACCATAACTAACAATAAATTATTAAAAAATGATGATAAAGAATCTGATAATAGTGAGAACTTTGATGCAATGCCAATAGAAAGAAACGATGGAAGCGGAGATCGTTGATGTACATTTATGTACATTTTATATTATTTTGCTTTTTATTATGTACATAAGTTATTAATTTATACTACATTTAATGTTAACATATTAAATATGATTTGCATATTCAATATTCAAAAAATCAATTTTAATTAGTCTAATAATTATATTTATATGTGTAACTTATTGCGTTTATGATGTTGTTTTAATATTGTTTACAACATATATATTTTATTTATAATTGATTGTATAATATATAATGAAATAATATTCGCAGTAATCTGTAACAGTATTAATAATATATTTGAAATGCTTAAATTTTAATGCTGATATTTAAATATGTATCCTTTTATGAACATTTTTTTCATTCCATGTAACATATAAATTTTACGTGATTTACGTAATGGATTGATTTTCGAAAGAGAATATGAGCAATTAATTTGAATAATAAACAAACAAGAATTTGTTTTATATAATCTCTGCATTTATATCATTAGAATGAATATAAATATTTCAGATATACCAAAAAATTAAAAGCAATTTTTTCTATAACAAATATAAAAATGACATATCTATCTGAAAATTATTTTAGTTAGTTTACAATATGTATAATTAATGCTATGATATAATTGGAATAACAAAAAAAATTAAAGATGACGAGAATATCGTAAAACTAAGTTTTGTGTTCATAATTAAGTCTGTTTATGCAAACTAATATTCTGTCGCTATGTATATATATAATTTCAATTTATCATTT